AAGTGTCATCATCTTAACAACGGCCGATCATGATTGCGTCCAGGCTTGATTTGCGGCTCAGTTGCAGCAACTGTCATCCCTGACAGATGCCGTGATTCGTAATTGAGGAGTTGTTTCTAAGACAGAATCCCGTTAAGAGAAATTTCAACGTTTCTTCCCTCAAAGATGAAAAAAAGGGGCTGCTTTTAATCCTCTTCGGCCGAAAGTCTTTGTTGGAATTTTGCCGACCGGCTTTGAGGAAAGTCTGATATATCAACTCTACGCAACGGCAAAAGAAATGCAAATGGTGCGGATGTTGTTGTTCTCGTCGTTTCGCCACCCAAAAGCATCATGAAATTAAAGAACATAGAAGAGATGGAAAAGGATTCCCTCCATCGTTTTGTCAATAAAGGATGACGTGTATCTGCTGAGTGGAGAAGTGAAATACAAGCTTGTTTTCGAATGACTGCGGAAGGCTTTTTGGATGCAAAATTCCAAAGCATGTAAAAGAACGAAGATTCTCCATTAACAATTGCGTCACGCTCATTGTTGTTGACGAGTGCCGCACCGTGTAACACCTTCGGAATAAATTCTCCGCAGATATGTAAGACTTCTTGCCAAGATTTCCCAAGCGAATAGCAAAAGAACAAGCGCATATCCTACGAGCGCATATCCTTGATTTCGGCTTGCTCCCCCTTTTGGCAGCTTTTATTGGAGTTGAAAAAGTCGTCTAATACGACATTCTTAACACCCAAATGCACGTACGTGCGAACTGATACTTGAACTAATAATTGTAATCAATTAAACAAACAATTTACCGCTCAAATTTTATTGGTCCCGTTTAACTAATTAGTAAAGGGGTGGAGGTGTTAGTAGCAAGGCGATAGCAGGGGTAGGAGACTAATAACTCCACTTTTTTCCAAAGATGTCTACAGTCTTTCTATTCTTCTTGCTCCCTTCGCTCGCACACCCCCACGCGCTTCGCGCTGGCTTCGCTCGCTTTTTCTTTCGCGTGCGTAAATAGAGAGGCCGTGAACAGTCTAAATAATGGTGGTATTTGGTATCTACCGAATGAGGCGGTAAGGTTTTCAAGTGATTTTGTCTGGAAAAGGTATCTAAGAGAATTTGAGAACTTCTTTTAGTTTTGGTTTTTCTTTTAGTTTTATTTTATTATAGTTTGAGGGGCTACGCGTAACGTTGCACCAAGCATAGCTTAAATGTGGCACAAAAAAATATACCAATTAATTTCTTCACAGACTTTATCCGTCTTAGGAAGGCATCAAGGAACAGATAACGTACCGCGGCAAACCCACCTCAGTTCTGGCTTTCGCTCTCCACAATACGAATTTGATCTCTTTACGTTGTTGTTCGCAGAGCGCGAAGGCGATGTTAGTTTCTAAAGAAACTGGTGGAACACGCAGCAAATTATCAACTTGAAGTCGACAAAAGTAAATTAACCACCGAAGCGAGTTTGGGGAGCTAGCGCTTTAGGCGTTAGCTTCGAGCAAAGTGATCAGTGGCTAATTCTCGGAATGTTAGATCTCAAAATTCGCTACATACTGTAATTATTTTACTTTTATCGACTTGTGATATGTACCTCTAGTTGCAGTAAGAGAGATCCCCGTAAAAGACAAACAGACAGCCTGGCCAATGACAATGGAAACGCTACATTTGATAACCCAGCCTTTAATGAAGATAGCATATATGATTCCGTCTCAAAAGCTAGAGGTAGTTCAGTGGCGGCCAGCTTGGCACAAGTGAGAGGGCCTGGTTTACAAAAATGTCACCCCCAAACTGACAGGGGAAACGAGATGACGAGCAAGGCACTCTGCGATTACAACAACGGAACATATCAAGCACTCGATGAAGCAGCCGTATGTAGCCCAGCATACAGAGTCCCTCATCCTGGAGGTCGCGGAATCGAGAATTCGGAGAAAGGTTGCGCCTCTCTTCAGCAGAAAAACGGACAACAAAACAAAGAATATCCTGGACGAGGTCGCAGAATGGAGAACCCTGCAAAGCAATATGCTTCTCTTCAGCAGAAAATAGGACACCCCCGGCGAGATGGACATGATGCCATGAAACCTGGTCATTTCCAAACCGAGACACGACAGCACTCTCCTGACGCAGCAACGGATGATGAAATTTATGAGAGCTTGGAGTTTCAGGACGAGTCAGGGGCTTAATCTATAAAACACTCTCTTTTCAAGTGGTAAGAGTTCCCTTAATTGAGTTTAAGTCTTAGAAAACTCTCTTTCAAAAACGGCACCATGTAACCAAGAAATGATCAATTTGGGAGAAAAAGAAAAGAGAAAAAAATTTTGACCATAATAATCGTACCTCTGACTTTTTGCGTTTACCTATAACACTGGTTTAATTAAGTAAAACAACCGCTAGTGCAGTTTCGATTGATTATCTTACAGTAAGAGTTTTGGGTCTCTTTCTGCATTAACTGAGCTGTGTAAGAAGTAAAATGAAACCTGCAAACTTGCTCTACCTGAAAACGTTTTTCAACAATTCATGAACACAAGGTAACTGATTGTAATGGCTTTACTCGTTTGCGTCGGTTGCATTTTACTGACTGTAGTTCAAATTGGCTCCCTGCGTGACCGATATTTTCTTGTAATTGGCCAAATATACCATCTCTGGCTTTGCCTTTATATAGTAATTCCGAGCACAACTTTCCAGATCATATTTTCCGATTTTTCTCGACGATGGACAGCAGCTTTTCGATGGCATGTTTACAGAACGTTTTAAACACAGTTAGGGTAGATAACGATATGCACCCGACAAATTATCCTGTAGATAATTGACCTGGCGCCTGTTTCTCGAAAGCCCCGGAAACTTTTCAGGCCCGCAAAGCCATCTTTAGTTAATCTGTATCTGAAAACAGAAAGGTGTATACGCCTGAAACTTCTTGCATGAAGGGAACTTCTGGTCATATTAAGAATATATGTGAATAGAACATTTCTGCAATCACAAGGTTTGAAATTTTGCCACGGCTTTCCGGGTGCGAAAACTTTTCGCAGGCGAACCGAGGCACTTGCCTCAGTTATTTTTGTCGTTTTTGTTGACTATAGTCATAATAAACACCCTAAATACCCAGGAAGAGAATTTAACCATGGACGATGCCTCAGTTAAAACTTTTTCATGGACCTTGCTTCCGTCATAATTTTTTTCTGGTTACGGTCCCGGTATCAATTAAACCAAGTACGGTATCCACTGGAACCACCAGGTCGTCATACATGTATGTATATATATACATGTACGTTCGAAAGATTTACTTGGTAATGAGGCAGAAAACTGTCATTTTTAAGGAGCGCTTAACATTAAGCCAAATAATTTGAAAATTCGTTGAAAACCAAAGCGTTCAGAGTACCTCCAGTGGTATTCTACTTTTTTCCGTTCGCAAGGAACTGCGGAAAATTCCACCGTTTCAGTTTCTTTAGCCAGGAGTCCTCTCTCAAGACAACCGCGCGGTCTTTGTTAACCAGGTAAACTGGGTAAGTGAAATCATCTTTCAGGAAAACGTGACGCTTTGAAAAAAACGAATGTTAAGCGCTCGAGAATTCTCCATTTAAAAAAATTGTCAATGACATTTAGTAACAAAGGTAGAATTTATGTAAGCAGGATAGTTTATACTAAACATAACGTAACATAATTAATTAAAACATAGTTTCCAGTCCCTAGTGGACCTAGAGATTTGCCTAGGGGTGGTTAGAAGTTCCCCCTACAAGAGAACTTTGAAAACTCGACGTTTATAAACTAAAATTAGACGAGCAGTTTTGCTCTTTAGAAATATATTTTAATGTTTCTGGAAGGTACAAATTTTTACATTTAAAA